CCCCAAAACCCCAAAACCCCAAAACCCCAAAACCCCAAACAACAAGAGTAAAACTGAAACTTAATGACAATATATTTTATTTAAAAAATGTCAACCCAGCATCCCCAAACCCACCACCAAACCTTCCTCAGTAAGCCCCCTCCTCCCTCTCCACCCCTTCCCCTCCCCTAACCCTCCCACAGCAAAAGAAATCCTAACCCAGGACCACTACAGCTCCACTCACAGTTCTCACCTAGACTACCAACCCCATCCGCCTGCTGGTCACAAATTCTACAGCTCCACACAGTACTCCCTTCCTTCCTCCTAACCTCTAGCTCACATAGCTCCAAGTACAATTCTAATGAATGGGCAGATTTCATCAATAGTAAGCACAGCTGCTATTTTATATGCAGAAGAGAGGGAACCGGACCAGGGGGAAATAAAATTTTGTATAGATAAATAATATGCTAAGGAAATGTAAGAGGCTTGTGTTATGTAGTAGAACGCCCAGAGGATTGAAAATGGAAGATATTGATATAAGTAAGCTGAAAGAGGAGAGGTTTAGTGTTAATAGGCAAAGACTGAATAAGTTCAGAGAGTTTTTTAAGAATAAGGTTATTCAGAGTCAAGAGAAGTCTAAAAGATTCACCATAGCTAAGGTTTCTGGAAGAAATAAGTTACCTCAGCTTAATCAATCTCATGAGGATTTTGATGATAAGCTCAATGCTTATAAGGACAATACCTTAGCACAGAGGTTTGTAGAATTTGAGAAATCAAGGGAGCGAAGTTGTAATTAGCTGGCTAATATATAGTCACCAAGCCGAATAAGAGATCTAAAAAAACTAGTGATTCATTGAGATCATTAAAAACAGTAACGAGGACACCTAAGAATCCTCTTCCATACCAGAATATTTATCGCAAAACTCCAAAATTACCTAAAAATTGCCAAAAATATATTCAGAAGGTAAAAGACCTTCATTTTTATCCAAAATCGAATCTGAATAATCAAAATTCTCTACAAAAAACTTTGAAAAGTTCTAACAATTTTGAAGAAAGTTCTTTGAAGACTTCAAATAGCAGTAAAAACCTTATTGTAACTCTTCAAAATCCACCATTGAGAAATTCCAGGAACAAAGGAACTTCAAAAGTCCGAGCAGTCACTACTGGTGATAACCAAATGACAAAAGCACGGTGAAATGATGTACTTAAGCGGGTGTTTGAATTCAGGAACACCCAACTAGCTCAGCTACAGCATACTAGAGATCTTGCAACAAACTCTAAAAAGACATTTACGCATATAAATAATTCCGTAAGTGAGTTCTTCTATTGTGGGAAGTGACATATTCCTTATCTAGAACCCTACAACTAAAACTTCAATGAATGCACAAAAGCAGCTAGAAGGCAAGGCTAGGAGCATACCTCACTTAAATATCCAAAAGTTTGTAAGTCTATCAGGATTTTCTAAGAAATTTTTGTGCCAATAAAACTTTGAAATCTCGAATATGAGTTTAAGCTGAGCAAATAAACTAAGCATAATGACTTTATTTGAAATATATCTTTGAGGATGCCAAAGCTTCCTTTGCAATGTCTCAAATTAAACTGAGTTGACTCTGTTTAAGTTGCTAACTCTCAATGGTTAATTTCCATTAAGCCACATTAATTCCTTTCGAATTCAATTTCACTATTTCTGATGGAAAAATCTTAAATATACTTAAGTGAGTCTGGCTTAAGCCAAAAAAGATTGATTAATGACACAGAATCTGCGTAATTCAAATTTCTATGGAGTTTTCGGCTTATGAATTTTAGTAAAAGCTGAGAGTATTCCTCCTTAGTGTAGGACAATGAAAATCTTTTTCCTATAAATATCGATAGAGCTTGGCTCTCACAATGCATTCCTTTGAAATATTATTAATATAATTCGTTTAGAAAAGAGATCAACAAAAGAAGAGAACTCCTGATATACACTCAAAACACAAATTCATCATCAAACAAAAACCTCTTAAGAATAAAACATTTACCACCGAGAAGAGTGTAACAGGATCTGGTGAGGTCCCGCACCCTGAATCCAAGCCAACTCGGCTGAAATCCCTTCCAGCAGTACCTGCAACTACGGTTAAGAAGTATATCTTATGACTAATTTTTAGGCACCAAGAGAGTAAGAAGAACAGAAAGAAATTTGAGAAGCTACTTAAGTTTAGCTTTAATAGCAAGCTTAAGAACCTCCAATCAGACCTGGCATACTATGAAAAGTACATGGTATCAATAACTTATAGGGACATATCGTCGAAGAAGAGGCTTAAAAAGTCAGTCCAGTTTCAACTCCCATAAAACGAATGATTTTTCATTTAAGTTATGTTGAACGTTTCATTATTCAACCTCCTCTGTTGAAATTGGGGTTTTGGGGTTTTGGGGTTTTGGGG